AAAAGAGAAATATTTATCTCAATAGCCCTGAAGCTGTATTTCCTTTTTGTGTTGCAGATGTTGGGTTTCGTTCCCCTTTTTCCTTTAGCATGTCTGTAACTGCAAGGGGTGGGTTGCCTCTGCTTGTTGAGTGCTGGCTTTGGGCTGTAGAAAGGCTTCCTGGAATTCTCTGGTGACAAAGTAGTAGCAGACACTATCGAGGCAGCAGTTGGACGTGGCAATGCACCTCATCACGGAGGAGAAGTTCTTCATGACATGGAGCAGGAAACAGGTAGCTCCAACGCTCTCCATAATGAACCTGGCAAGCAGCCCGAGGTAGGCTGGCAGAAAGCATATCAGAAATACAATCAGATTTGCATAAATAATGTGTACGGCTTTCTGGATCGATTTCTCCTCCGGTGAATTTGTGTTCAGATGTTTTTTGAGGTTCCTGATGACTTCTGTGGAGCAGAAGGTCAAGATTGCTAATGGGAGAGTGAAAACAAAGAAAATGGCCAGTAGGCTGAGGGCAGCAGGCGTGGGGGTGTAGGTCTGCAAGCAGAGAGCTGCGTGTCTGTGCCAGAGCTGGATGGTGGCACTGGCTACCACCAAGGCCCACAGGAGCCCGCAGAGGAGGGCAGCCTTTGATGGGGACCTGAAGGCCCTGGCTTTCAGAGGGTGCTTTATGGCAATGTATCGATCAATGGAGATGAATGAAATGATGTAGATGCTCACTAACATGTTGATAAAATACATTGTCTCTGTAAACTGGCAGAGCTTCCCTTGGGCTGACTTATTCCAGAGCAAATAAACCATGGAAGGCAAGGTGCAGATGACAGAGAAATCTGCAAAGACTAAATTCATTACATACACCCTGGTTTCTGTCCACTTCTTCATCTTGCAGGAGAACACCCAGAAGGCAAGGACATTAAATAGTGCTCCAAAAAAGAAAATGAGGCTATACAGAGCAAATTCAATGAGGCGAACATGGGGATGCAGTTCTAGATTTGTGGTGTTGCAGTTGTTGGACACATTCATTTTCCTGATGTACAGATGTTGTACGATGTTCTGAGACCTGAAATAGGAAAAGACATGGTAAGACCTCTTAGTAGCTATAAAAAAAGCACATATAAGTACATATGCCCTTGGTTAAAAATTTGAACTTTACAGAGCTGTCTTTCTCAGTCAGCCTGTGTCATCCTTTGGCATCCTTTGTCAAGCTTTGTTTATGTCCACACAGTTTATGAGTGTCTCAGGGTACATTTCCAGGAGGACATGGCAGACAGCCTTTATTAAATAGGGAGATCTTGAAGTGTGTGAGGGCAGGAGGCAACATTGCACTCAGAAGAGCCCCCACAGGTAGAGGGCACATCCTATGACTATGTGAACACTAATTCCTTAAGCCAGGCTGTGCAGATGATGTAAAATTACCCTTAGCTTGGTGTTGAGCTAGGCAGGGATTGCAGCAACCAAAACTAAAGCTCAGCACAACCCGTGAGCAAAAGGTGTTCTGTCAGTTCTACTGGTTTTGGCTTCAGGTTGGGGGTGAACGGGTGGGAGTGTGTAGCAAATGTCACTTCATAGAAAGCCTTGTGCTCTGGCTCTAGCTGGGAAGTTTCTGAGCCTTTGCACTGCCTTGTGAACCTGGAACAGCTCCTGGAAGCTGAGGAAAACAGCTGCACCTGCATTCCTGCACTCCCAAGGAGACCCTAAAGGAGAGAGTGAGGTATGCTGCTCTCCACCTCGCCAGGAGGGGAATGGGGGATGGAAGGATTAACCTGATTTTAAGTCCATTCATTCCAGGAGAGAGTAGGAGTCTGCAGATGCAAAGCAGAAGGCCACATCTGGAAGAGAGAATACCATTGCAGAGCAGGGATCTTGCTGTTAAGGGCTGAAATCAGATTGCTTCTGCTCCGGGTAGGCAGCCAGCCACCCTCAGAAATCCATCTTGTGAGGAGTAGCTGCTGAGCCTCTGTCACACTAGCTGCAAGATGCTTTGCAGGAGTATTAGTTGTGTGAAGAGTGTGAGTTCATGGGCTGATAAAAATCATCTTTCAGCAGAGCCCTTCCTGTGCAAAGTGGTTTCATGTGACAAGCACATGGAAAAATTCTCTGAACGGTGATTCTCAGTATCTGTCACTTTTGCTTGCATCTAAATTCACTTCAGAAAAAAAACAAACAAACAAAAAAACCCCTTTCAATGTAAAATAAGTTTTTTACAGAGTGAAGTGGGGAGGGATCTGGTGAAATCTTGCAGCTTTCAGAGACCTGGGAAGGGACACCACCTTTGCCTTGGTTAAGCAGTTATTTGCCCCCACCAGCAATTCAGATCTTGTGGCCAGTGGGTGAGGGCACTGCCTGCAAATCAGAATACAGACCTGAAGTGACGGAAAAATACACAAATAACTCAGTTTCTGGAGGGATGTGTAAGTGTCTTGGACAATAGCAGACACTAATGGAATGCAGGCACTGCTGCACAGTTCTTGTATGCTCAGGCCTGGCTTTCCCAACAGAGGCTTGCTGCTCACTGCCTGCATCCTTCAGAAAAGGGGACACTTGTCCCCTGAGGAAAACCCCTCTGCACTATGGACAGTACCAGCAGGGAACTGTCCCTGATTATGGCCAAAGTCTGACAGCTGCCCAGGTTTCTTTTCACTGCCATGGGATGCAGTGCCTGCAGCAGTGCTGTTCTGCAGTGCCTGCAGCAGCCTCTGCAGAGGTGCAGCCCAGGCAAACCACACTGCTGGGCTCTGCAGCAGCAAAGGGCTCTGGCCAGCGCTGCCTTTGGAGCTGCAGACCTGGCCCAGGGCAGTCCCCAGCAGCAGGACTCACAAGTGCTCCAGGCCACAGGGCAGTCCAGAGCTGGGAGGAGGATGGAGGAAACGAGTAGAGGGTTTAAAGCAGTCCAAAAAGCACTGATATGGTATGAGTGAGGAAAAAAAATCTTTAAAGAGGTTCAGCTTGACTAGCTAGCATATCCTGTGGCTGCTGAAAATGCTTCATGTGGGGCAGATGGAATGTCTGCAGCATCAGAGGGGCTAGACAGCAACTTACAGCTGTGACAAAAGGATGGAGACAGCTGTGAAACAGCATCTTGCTGCTGCTGGAAGACCAGCAATAGGCTGGGGCTTAACAGACAAGGTCACCAGTACTGTGTAGTCCTGCTGTCCCTACCACAGGCTGGGAAGAGCTGGTCAGCAGCTGTCCCCCAGCCCAGAGGCTGGTGACCATCTGGGGAGGAAGGCCTGGGCTGGATTTGTTTCCTCCAGCAGCTCAAGAAGCAGGAGGCTTCTGCCAGACCCTGAACAGAGAGGCTGGAGGAAGAGGTGCAAGGCAGAGGCTGAAGGCACAGGGGATGTTGTAGCAGCACTGTGGTGGCTGCATCCAATGTTTTTTTCCAGCAGAAAAGCAGCTGCACTGAAGGGGAAGTCTTGCATGAAAAATTCTTCTCCTTCCTTCTGGGAGAGCTTAAAAGTGGGGAGCCTGTGTGTGGGCAAGAGGCAACACGGCACTCAGAAGACCCCCACAGGCACATCCTGTGACAATGTGAACAGGGAGACCCAGGTGAGGGCCCTGCCATGGTACTGAAGTGAGGAGCTGTTCCTCTCTGTTTCCAAATAACATAAAGAAAACTGCAAACTGCCTGCTCCACCCTTGCTGCTGCTGTTCACACCTCTCTCAAATGCAAGGATCTAAGGCATAGCAGTTTGTTATCTTCTTTTCTGAAACGTGTGTTCTTTCAGGCTCATCTATCACTGCATCCCTTGAAAACTGTAATATGGTCATCCTAACCATGATCTGCTTTGATGGATGCTGGAAGGAGTTCTCTTAGACAAAAAAAATCTCTTAGAATCCTCGTTTCCCATATTGGGATGAATTAACTTCCAGTTCTCAGCTGCTGTGATATTCCAGGTAAAGTATCCAGAGAATACCTTGGAGTAAGAAACAGAAACCGGAAGGCTCAGAGATCACAGCCCACCCCAGGGACTCCTGCCTGGCAGGGCCCTCGCTGCCCAGCAGAAACCACACTCAAAGCCTCCTCTGCCTCCCCCCAGGCACAGCAGGACCACGCTCAGCAGTTCTCAGCCAGCAAGAGAGGAGGAAACAGTGATGTTACCTGCAGATTTAACGTGCCAAAGTCAGCAGCAGGTGCCACCCGAGGCAGGGCACGCGGGCTCTGTGCAGCCACACAGCCCCAGGCTGCCTGAGCAGGGCAGGGGCCCGGCACCAGCAGCTCCCTGGTACTTGAGGGTTTCCATAGCACCTCCTCCTGCTGCGTAAGAGCAGATTTCACATCAGTTAGGTTTTCAAATGCCAACCTTCTGGCCAAATCAATGGTAGCACTACTTTACAGTGAGCTCTGGCACCTCACCACTCTGCAGTTGCGGAAGGGGGTGTTCTATGGCTAACAGAGGTGGTCAGCAAGTGGGGATTTGAAATGCCCACTAGTGCTGAAGTCTAAGATAAGTAAAGCCAGGAACATGCAATAGCTGTCTGGATGGCCCCATGCAGCTCATGGTACACCTGAGTGTTGAGTTGTGCTTGCACAGCTCTGGACATGGAGGTGGGCACAGGGAGCAGCTTGGCACGCAGTATAGGGAAGCCTTCCCAGCCTCCTCAAAGGCTGCACTCAAACGGTGCCTTGGGTTGGGTTTGGTGCCTGGGGCACGGATGGAGCAGGAGAGGGTCATGATAGGGGCAGCATTAGGGCTCTGGCTTGCAGCCCTGTTTGAGCACAGGTACAGCCAAACCATCGGGGAGCTTCATCTGCCACCTAAGCCAAGGCCTCAGCATCTCACATGGGTGGCAAAGAGCCTCGCTTGTCAGTCTGCATTAACAGGAGTGGAGGGGGCAGGCAGAGCTGTAAGTCCCAAAGGGCTCAGTAATGGGCTGTTAATTGGTGTCAGTAATTAGCTGCTAGTGGGGGCTGCTTCACTGCACTCAGCCTTGGCACCTGGCCAGCTGCTGCACTGCTGTGTTGCAGGGATGCACTGGTGGTTGGCTGCTCTTTAGTCAGCACGATGGGCTCCGTGCTGGCTGGGGGAGCTGTGAGAGACAGGAGGAAGCTGGCTGGAGCTGGGGCACTGCCGAGGTGAGTGAAGGGTGGCAGGATGCCCGCAGGTGCCTGGCTCAGGAGCACTGGGTGGCACCGGGCAAAGGAAGCGCTGCAGCCCAGCTGCCAAACGGGGCTGTGCAGGGCAGAGCTCCAGGCACAGGATCCTGAAGATAAGGCCCACTCTGTGTCCCACCACAAGGCTTCTGCAGCTCGCAGCCATCCCATAACCACAGAGATGTGCGTGCTGATCACAGCCCTCAGGAGGCAAACAGGCATCCAGAGTCCTGGGTGTGCCTGTCACGGGAGGAGCAGCCAGTGTGCAAGGCAGGAGCCACGTCAGATACCTCAGAACCACAGGCTGATAAGACCCTTGGATAGCATCTGGCACTTGTGAGGTGCTGTGGAGGAGGGGGGCAGGGAAGCAGGGTGACATGAAATGCTGCAGTGGCTCTTTGGGTCACAGTGTGAAAGAGGGGCAGGAGGGTCACTGCAGATGTTCAGGGACAGGAAAGACCTGTGTGAAGAGAGCCACAAAGCAAAGGTGGGAGCTGTTTGCCTGTGTAGCTGCAGCTGCATTCCCCAGAGAGACTGATGCTTGAGTTATTTTTGAGTTAGAGCCCACGTGATGGCCTTGTTCACAACCACTGAGGCTGGAAGGAACCTCCTTCCATCAAAAAGAGGTTTCCACCAATGCTTTGCTCCGAGCCATTGTCTGAGGCTGTGTCCAGTTTGGTTCTGAATAGTTTGAAGGATAGCTCCACACATTCTCTGGGCAACCTGTTCTAGTGCTTGATCATTCTGAGCCTAATTTTTTTTAATGTTTTAACAAGACTTTTCTATATTTCAGTCTGTGCCTTTGCCTCTTGCCCTCTCAGCACTGTCAGGGAGAGGGCATAGGCAAAAGGCACAAACTGAAATATAGGAAAGTCTGTTTAAACATAAAAAAAGGTTTACTCCCTGCCACTAGGTGTTTATATACATGGATCAGATCCTTGAGAGACTTGTCCAGGCTGAATAGTCCCAGCTCTTTCAGCCTCTCCTCATACAAGAGATATTCCAGTAACTTAGTCATCTTTGTGGCCTTTCTCTAGACCTGCTCCAGTAAGTCCAGCTCTTTCTGGTACTGGGTACAGTCTCAGCAGTGCTGGGCAGAGGGGCAGGATTCACCTCCCCTGAGCTGCTGGCAGTGCTCCTTCCCAGGCAGCCCCAGCTGCTGTTCCCTCTCCCTGCTGCTGTGCACACTGCTGGCTCTCCATCAGCTTTATTTCCTCCTGGAGCCCAGGGTCTCCTCTGCCAGGCTGCTTTCCCAAGGGTATGGAGTCACTCCTCCTCAGCTGAAGGAATCGCAGGGACTGACTGTGCTGCAGCTCTCTGGGTGCTCTTTCCTGCCTTTCCTGGAGGGTGACATTTGAGGGACACAGCAGTGTTGAAGGGAAGAGCACAGCACGAGTGTCAGCTCACGGCAGGCCGGGCTGTAAAATGTGAGGAGATGAACAGCACTGGAAAATTACTTTGTGCCACCACGATCTGCAGGGGCTGCAGTTGATGGTGGGGACTAAAAACTGCCAGTGCCAGAAGGAGATGGAACACAGCCTGTGGAGTTCCAGCTGATTTGGAGGTGGTGATCTAGGAAAGAGCCCCAAAGAGGGGTGTAAGCTAGGAGGGTGAGGTGGCTGGGGAGAGAAGACCATGGATGTGGGACAGGGATGGATACAGGCTGGCCAAACTGTCTGGACTGATGAGCTCCACCACTGGAAGGGGCCAGGGAACACAGAGACATGGAGCAGAGGACCTCTGGGATGGTGGCAGCCAAGGAGCACTGGGGAAATCAGGCTGTGACAGTGGCACCTGCCTGCAGCAGTGTCCAGCGGGACAGGAGGATTCATCCCCCATGGAAGACAGGAGAAGGCTGCTCATGCTGGGTCTGCCTGAGCACCTGGCATTTCTTACCTCTCTTCTACCAAATCTCAAGATTCTAAACTGGTACAGATTACATCTGTTTGTGTTTGCTAAAATACAGTATACTAAGCAGGACTAAACAAAGTGGGTTTGGTTGTGGTGTGAAACAGGGGCAACACCTACATGGGATGCCTCAAACCTTCACAAGCCAGCCTGGGCAACCTTTGAAGGTACCTCCTTTGCCATGACAGCAAGGCAAAAACATTCTTAAACTTAGTTTGGGGTTTTTTCCCCTTTCCCTCCCTCAGTCATGAACATCTCTTTCTTATATAATCAGTTTGAAAGGTCACTTCATTATGCAATCGTTTGGGTTTGGAAGGTCTTCACCACATTCATATTCTAAATTCAAAGCTTAATTTATTTACAGTTTACTTTCATATGTCCAAGAAGGAGGAAAACAAAGATAGGCTAAGGATGGCAGTGTTTGCACAGCCATCCATGCTTTGTTCAGGGTGGGCTGCAGCAATACCCACCTGTGCAATGCTGTACAAATACATCTCAGGTTTGGAATTATTTTATATATGACCAGGCCATAATGGACCAAATCCTCAGTGCTCTTCAGCCTGCACTCCAGCCTATCCAAACTCGTTATGTTGATGCTAAAGACTCTCATCATTGATTTCCTGAGATGAAAAACTCCTTTTTGCTCTCTCTCTCTCTCCCCTCTCTAAGAATAATTTTGTTTCTGAGTGCCCTGTGTTTGAGTGAAGACATCTAATGCTTCAAGAGCTCCACCAGCTTTTTTCATTACTCTCCCTCAACCATAAAACACTAAAAAAAAAAAGAAAAAAGAAAAAGGGTTTGCTAATGGAAAGCAACAGAGGAGAGTGGAAGTAGGTCTAGTAATTGTAACCCATGCTCTGACCTTGTCTAGTCCCAGGAGAGCAAATCAATTTATCCTTGGCTTTCACCAGAAGTCTGTAATTTGCTTGTAGTTATCCTCCCCACTTCTGCATTTGGACAGAGGCACTTTCAGCCTGCAGAAGCATCACTCGTGCAATGTAGTACTTATGAGTGTTAGAGGCTTTTGTTTATACTTTTGGACTTGCCTATAGAACTGCTTTGCTCTCAGTATTCTAGGCATTACTAGCACAGGCTAGGCTGAAATGTGTGTATGCTAGTTTCCTGAAATAAAAGTGTTCCTAAAACTCACTGGATTCATCACCCTTCTTCCTCCTGCTTATTTTTCCACTTGCCTTCTAAACCCCATTCCATTTGGTTTCTCATAAATGTGGATGAGAACAAGCAGTTTAGCTCAGAGGTTTTTAAACTGGGAAACTTTTGCTGCAGGAGGCAGGACAGCCATCAGAGGGTACAGGGAGGGAGAGTGCTCCATAAACATCCACTTTTCAGAAGGAAAATTACCCCATCAGTTAAAAACTAGAAATAACCTGGCAGAGGAGAGGTGATAAATTAGATTCAAGTAGGTCTCACCTCATTTGAAAAGGTGATGATGAGTCTGTACCAAAAATTCCCAGTTACATCAGACTCTTTCCGTTTCCTGAAACTGAATGCAAATTTAGAAATTTAATAATAACTTTAATAAATGGAAATTAAAAATTTCCATTTTAATAATAACTTTCATAAATGGAAATTTAGGAATAGTGATTTTGACAAGATCAGTCAATAGCACCAAAGGACTGGGGACAGAGGGCAACCAGCTCATGATAACAAATGGGTTTTGCCTTCCTGTGCAAGCTACAGAGCATCAGCATAATAACATTGTGCCACTGGAGTGACAGGGCTGAAAGCAATGACACCACCCTGATCCTGCTGGGTGGTGTGAGCCACAGATCTGCCTGTGCAGTTGTAGAAAATGTAAAATGTCAGTGATGGGATGGAGTGGTAACCTTTGCAGGGCTGCCTTGTGGAGTAAAACAGTAAGTTGGTCACATTTGCTTTGCTTTTCAGGCCAGGGAGGCATATAAGCATATCTATAGATATCTATAAAAAATACATCTATCTTAACCTTTCCTTTGCAGGGCTGTGCTGACACACTGTGCTCAGAGAATAAAACAGAAGAGCAAAGAACATGAACTTGGCTGAAGAACATGTGTGTGAGATGTGCATATTTCTCACTTGCATGGACAGGAAGCAGGGAAAATGTGGTTTGGTAAGGTCAGCTCCAACTTCTGACACTGGAATTTAATTTTGAGCTTGGAAATCTTGGCTTTCAGCATCTCACAGTTAAAACTTGTGTGAAGTTGTGCACCAGTGGAGAGCCACTGATTTACATCAAGGCATGTTTACTCTTACTTAATCACTCTGTTATCAAACCACTCATCAAAGGTAAGGAACTGACATAGCAGGACACTTCCACTCCCTGGCCTCGTGCCAGACACACCCTTTTGCCCAGAACCCTGACAGCTCTGCCAGCAAATACAGGCTTCCCATGGGCCTCCCACTTCCAGACCTCCCTGCTGCCTAGGAACATAAAACCCCAACATTTGGGTGGGAAAATTGGCCCAAGAAGACCCCATGTGGTGGCAGTGGCTGCTCCCCTTCCCAGCAGTGAGTGAGCAGGGGCTGTGCAGGACAGTGAGCTCATCAGGGAGCACATGAGGAAGGGAAAACAAGAACCCCATAAAGCTGTGCAGGACAGTGAGCTCATCAGGGAGCACATGAGGAAGGGAAAACAAGAACCCCATAAAGCTGTGCTGGACCCCATTTCACTGCCAAGTTCATTTGGTGCCTGGCTCTGTGTCTGCTTTGCTCCAGTACTCTTCTCCTGTGTGATAGCCTTTATCACCACAGCCTGATAGCAAATTTCCCCACAGCCCCTTTGTACAAATATCTGCAGTGCAGATTCCAGGTGTCACTGATAGGGCTCCTGAGCCTGCACATAAATAACCCTGCACCTTCTCGTGCCTCTTTAGGGCAGGGCTTCCCTTGGTGCTGGTCAGGGACACCTAAACCTGCCCAAGCTTTGTGGCTGCAATAGTGACAGCAGTGACCCCTTATCTGGGTCCCTGCCCTTTACCTCTCCCTAGCTTCAGTGGCTGAAATACTTGCAGTGGTTTAAAATACTCATTTATGGCAGTATTGGTTGTTTTGGAGAAGAAAAGACCTCCTGTGGG